TGCCACCTGCCTCCCGGCTTCACTTTCACCAGCGTTTCACACCGACAGGGACACGCCCAGCTGCCCTTACACGCAGGGTCTCTGCCACCTGCCTCCCGGCTTCACTTTCACCAGCGTTTCACACCGACAGGGACACGCCCAGCTGCCCTTACACGCAGGGTCTCTGCCACCTGCCTCCCGGCTTCACTTTCACCAGCGTTTCAGTGTTTTCTCAGTGAGCCGTTAGCCTTGTTTGGCCTTTTCACGATTGTACCCGAAAGGCTGCTTGTGGGTGTTCTCAACCTCACACCGTGTTTCAGTAACACACGCAGACAAACTCCATAACATCGCACCCACCGGTAGCGCACACAATCCGACGAGATGGGCCTGGCGAGCAGGTCCAGACTTTTACAATGACACTTTGCAAGGTGCACTTTGCACAAAACGTGTCCTAAATACACGACAGTGGTGAATAGTGAGGTGACCAGCTGTCACAGTGAGATTGAGGGGGGGGCTGCCAGAGACACCGACCCTCAGCCCCACACTTGACCCGAACCCCAAGCTCCAACCATGGACCCCAAACCCTGACCCCAAACCCCATCCCTACCCCTAACCGGGGACCTTGACATTGACCCTGACACTAACTGGGGACCTTATGAGCTACTGATTGATAATTGGCTCCTGGTTATTGATTATTTGCTATCGTTAGCTACTGATTGGCTATTGACTCCTTATTATTGATTATTGGCTATTGATTACTGGCTTCTGGTTGGCAATTGGTTCCTGGTTATTGATTATTCACTATTATTAGCTACTGATTAATTATATTGATTATTGGCTATTGATTACTAGCTACTGATTGATAATTGGCTATTGGCTATCGATTATTGGCTACTGATTATTGATTGCTGGGTACTGAATATTTATTATTATCTGCTGATTACTGGCTACCAATTATGGAGTTTTGGCTCCTGGTTCCTGGCTAAAGATTCTTGCTAGATTACGGGCTACCAGCGATTGACTAATGGCTACTGATTATTGTCTAAAGGTTATTGATGACTGGCTTCTGCCCATTGGCTAACAGCGTCTGCTTATTGGCTTCTACGCATAGTTGGCTATTGGCGACTAATTATCAATTCCTGGCTATCAGTCCCTCTCGTCTTCCCGTCAGCTGTCAATCACCACTTACCAATTAATGGCCCCAGACTGGCAGCTCCGTTAGCGAGTCCCGATTACGGGCTGGCTCCGGATTCCTGCTGAGTGGCTACTGGCGAGCGTTGGCTGCGCTGGGTAGCCGCTGACCCCTGGTTATTGGCGGCTGATTTATGCTGAGAACTGATTATTGGCTGTTCCTGAGAACTGATTAGGCCAACGAACTTGATAATTGGCTACTGATTATTTTAATTGGCTATTGGCCGAGCTGTGATTCTGGGCCGCTGACTAGCGATTTCTGGCTCCCGCTGGTTAATTAATGACATGAATGATCCCCCTAGACCAGCGAGAAGTAGGACCCCAGACGGAAGCCCCAATACCGGTGAGACCCCGCTGGGGGGATGAAGGAGGGGTGTGTGTGGAGGGGGGATGGACGTAGGGGGGAATGGGGGGATGGAGTGAGGGGTGTCTGGAGTGAGGGGTGTGGGGGGGATGGAGGGATGGGGGATGGGGGAGGGCGAGTGGGGGGGACAGAGGGGTGTGGGGGGGATGGAGGGGCATGTGCAGGGACAGGCAGCGCAGTACCTGGGGAGGTGGATCTGTGAGTCGGGGGCTCCCCTGCCGGAGGTGCCTGGGGTGGGGACAAGGCTGGCCTGGGAGGTGGGGCTGTGGGGGGCGGATCACCTGGGGGAACAGCTGAAGGGACAATCCTGGCTGGGATGGCCGTGGGGGGCTGACAGGGCTGATGGGGTCAGGGGGGGCTGCCAGGCTGTGGAAAGGCTTTGGGTTCGATGTGGGGGGCTGACAGGGCTGTGGGAGGGCTGAGGGGGTCTGAGGGGATCTGAGGGGAGCTGACAGGTCTGTGGGGGGCTGATGGGGCCGGGGGGGTTGATAGGTCTGTGGGGGGCTGACGGGTCTGTGGGAGTCGGTGGGGGATGACAAGGCTGAGGGGGGGGCTGACGGGGCTGTGG